TGGGAACACTACACTTGACAATTCTGCACTGGTCTCAGAATCATAGTTTGTATAATCATACAAATATAAGTTCATATATATTTTATTTTGAGATTTTTCAAACATTGTTACAACTCCAGCATGTAAGCTTTCTCGTTGCTGCACAGCATGCTCATATTTCCATAACATATTTTGGTTTAAAGAACAGCATGAACGCTGTATCTCATTAAAAAGAATAGTTTCATAAATATCTGGTAATTTGTGTCATTATAAACAGGTTATGGTGATTATAGCCCCAACAGTGCTCACTTTCTTCTTTAACCAACGGCATCAGTATGTTTTGCAGCAGTGAGGCTGCAGAGGTCTTGAGATCATGAGATGTTCCTTGTGTGACACCTTTTATAGGCCGTCAGTTTGGACTGGCTGACAGAGGCTGATATGGAGATGGATGTGTTGTTGTATCACATTTACAAATATATTTACTTAGAAAACTGGTAACATTTTAATACTTATTTTAGCTGCTATATAAAATTAAGACTAGCTCTAATTAAAAAACTTATTCTTTTTGTTTTTTATTGTTTTGTGGAAGTTACATGAAAGTTCATTTGCAATGACAGAGCCAACAGGTAATGTTGAGGGTAGAAAAGGTTCAACTGTGGAGAGACATGCAGCATGAAGTGCCAGAGACAGGAAGATCTAATTTGTCTGAAAGTTGACGTCTAACAGTTTCACTCATAATTTTATTTCAATAACAAAGACAAAAGCGAAGGACCAAGAAAGTTAGAGACTGTCTCTTAACCCCTGTCAAATACTCAGTAATATTGTGTGCGTACGAACCCACAGTCTCTGAAATACGTGATGATCACAGACAGTAAGTGTACTGTCAAACAGTCATATTAGGAAGGCTTATTAAAACTCATAATTCACTTATTTGAATTGTGAAATCTCAATGAAAGAAATGTCAGGGAAGGGCAAGCGTCACGTTGGTGCTTTTATGGCCCTATATTTGGAGGATATATATCAGATTAAAGCTTTAGTGGAAAATTCAAATCGAGGGTTTTTCGAAATGAGAGGAGTTCTTCTGTCGCTACATTTCTGGACAAACTTTGCAGAACAATGGTGTTTGACACACTCCACCATCCATATAAATACTTGGTGTAATATCTGCTTCACTCTGATTGACATGTAAACGCTATTTCACATCCCTGTTTCTTCATTAAGCAACACTAAACTGTGAGCTCGAGTTTCCTGAGCCGGAGAAAATTGTGCATATATTTCTGATATCACAGATTACTGTGACGCTCCACTCAGCCACTTCTCTGTCACACCTCCA